GCATATGTTCAGAGCATCTATGTACCAAGTTTCATCAAAATCCAATGAGTGGTTCTTTAGATATCAGTGGAACAGTCATAGAACAGCTAAAAATTAGCTAATTATCATGCAAATTAGGTAATTAACGAGCATGGATTTTTACCAAAACCTAATCAAATCTGCGCATTGGCCCAGAGCATCTATGCACCAAGTTTCATCAAAAACCGATGTATGGTTCTTGAGATAGCAGTGGAACAGTCGGACACACACACATACACACACACACACACTAACTGCAAAGACTCCCATTTTGTGCTTCGCACATGGGAGTCAAAAAGTGCTGCATTTAAGACGTGAATAGATTCATAAAACATGGAAGATAACAGGAAATCTTAGCTGGTTTTTGTATTTTGTACAGGTGTCAGTCAAAAATTAATGATTCACTGAGACAATATGAACTGCCTTATTGCATTCATTGTGTGACTATTGTATTATTTGAAAAGTAAAAAACGCCCTCTATGAATAGCTATCATGTTGAAAGCTCTGCTTTGTATGCAAATCAACTTAAATTGTTAGCTGGTGTCCATTGGAGAGAGAAGTCAACAGTACTGTTGCCTCCTGAGAATCTACATCTTCAAACACTGCAATCTTGACCAGCAAAATCTTTCACGTTTCCAGTTGCACGTCTATTTAGCTCTTTGATTTGATAGGAACTATACAAGTAGCAACTTACCGTTTTACCAGAACCAGTCTGGGCACAAGACATCAGATCTCTACCCCTTAGTATTATTGGTATGCTGTATTTCTGCACAGGAGTAGGCTTCAAATACTTAGCTTTTGCCACATTTTTGGCAAATGTTTCATACAACTCTGCCTCGTCAAATGAGTTGATGTGTTTAGGAGCATCACGTCCTATCAATAATGCAAATTCGTTTTGTTAGATATTAATTTAGAAAACAATGCAAGACAATGGTAGAAATATAAAGCAAGGTGAAGGGATAAGAAGACATCATAGAAAATAATGCAAGAGAATGGGAGAAGTGGAAAACAATGCAATGGAGGAAGTGGGGAAAAAATACACAAAAATAAAAAGTGATGGAGAGAAACAATTGAAAGCTGCATGATGGACGGGAAACTATCACATTCATCTTTGATGGTGGACAACAGTCATACCAATAATTGCCATGCCATTTTGATGCATTAGATTGCAAGGTGAATATACGAGAGATGTTTGTAAGTGATTGAAGCAGGCATGTCCAAGATTGAAGAGTAGGCAGAAATGAATTAACTTGACAAAATGGGGACCTCTTAACATAATGGATATGACACATACCAGTAACTTCAACAGGAATGGCATCATAATTGCTAAAATTTATCCCAGTTTCAATGGTTGAAAAAATCTCTGACTCCTCTTCCGGTGGCGGTGGAGGTACATATGTCACTGGTGCTGGCCTGTCAGCTAGAAAATCAGACAACATTAGAATATGCAACACAGCTACAGCAAGCATAATCCTTTACACAGATTTATAATTTCCAACTGTACAAGAAGTATTCTTACCAGCTCCTTCTCTTGTGTCTTCATTAGTACAATCTTTGGCAAAATGTCCGCTTTCTCCACACCTGAAACAGTTTCCACCCCCACCACCACCACCGCCGCCTGACTCTGCATTTGGGCATTCACGTGAAAAATGTCCACTCTCACCACATTTAAAGCAACCCCCACCACCTAAGAGATATAAAATGAGTACAAATTACTAGTATATGTCATGTTTACACAACTTTTTGTAGATTGTAATTACAAAATCATTCACCTGTCCACTGGAATAAAAGCCTCAGTTTTTTAAACACTTAACCAACCAAAGTCTACAACACAGTACCATAAAATTTCTATTAGAAGCCGCATCCATTCTTTTTGAATAATTGAGAACCAACAATTTATCATTTCTCACATGTGTAGATGCTCTAACAGAAGCCGCACCCCTCTGTTGTACTATTTTAATAGAAGCTACGACTTTTAATACAAATTTTATGGTAATCAATTTCTACATAAACAGCTGTCCCATGCTTAAGTACATTACAATATCCACTTGGGACAAACGGCTCAAACTCATTTGATGGCACAGTAATTACGAGATCTGCCAAGTCATGAGATTGACTTGATGTACACATCCCAATATTTACTCTTGTAGCAAAGAATAACAGCCAGTATAATGCACACTACATAATTTCTTTACTTGCCTGATTTCTTGTCATCGAATCCACCTCCAATCCGAGGCATTTCATCGTCGTCATTATTAGAAGTGCCAAACCCACCGGAACGTTTCTGTGTAAAAAAAAAAGTAGAATTAGTTGATATATATTCAGCACTTTTTGAAAATTTAACATTCCTTAATCCTTGCTTTCCGAGAAACACTGGATATCAAAATGTCAACAACTGTTTTCTTGTAACGCTATTAAGTGCTGAGGACTGTCACTGGGCAAGGCTATTGAAGAGTGGACATCCGTTCTCAGAAACAATATCAAAGTGGTGACAATTGTCCTCTGCCAATGCTATTGCAATCGATCGAATGCATGGTTCCTTTGCTGTTTTCAAAAAGTTGTAAAAAGACTGCTTATATTGAAAGGATATATATTTGTGATATGAACAACCTCATAATCTAGGGGTTCGCAAATAAACATGCTGCCTAAATTGGGTATATTTGTAGACATAGAAGCCTGGAGAGAAGGTTGGCTTGAAATGAGTTGTTTTATTAAAACTTTAGAAAAACAGGAAACCTGTCATAATAAATATCGCTACAAAAAATATAGGGATTGACAAATCTATGTACAACTATTATGCTATGCTACTGACAAGTGGGTCTTGACAAGACTGCCATTTTGTTCAAATTTGTTTGGAAAGTTTAAATGATTGTATGAAATCAATTTAAAAGAAATTGTATTTTCAAATGATATTTAACGTGACCCTCAGTATTAGTTTGACATCTGTTGAGGTTTCAATCAAGGGGAGGTGAGCAGGACAACCTCTGTACGAGGGATGAGCAGGACAACGCCCAATGCTTTGTGAATCTTTCAATTAGACAGTAATTAGTTTCTTTCAGGAAATAGTTGGTGAACTAATTACTTATTGTGTGTTTAAGAATGTAGTTAGCATCTTATAAACTAACAAGGTTGATTTAAAGATGTTGACCACAACATACACTGTAGCTTCGTTATAACGAACACGTCGGGAGACAGCCATTTAGTACGTTATATTGAAGTGTTCGTTATACTGAATAACCTATTCATTGCTCGTATTGACACCCAGGATCGACACCTATTCATATGCAAAACAATAAAGTCATTCTAGTTGCTTTGTTTCTTTTTATTCTACCATTGTTACACGTTACGAATAAATCAAAATAAGTTACAAAGCTTGTACATACATGTATTCCATCAATTCAATTACAAATATATTAAAAATATTCAATGTAAATGTTAGAGTAATTTAACATATTCACGATCACCAAATGTTCGTCGCCTCACTGGTTGAAAAAGCTTGTGATCTTGGTTTGTTTCCGCTTGGAAATAGCATTTTCTTTACGTGCAAACGATAATAACTGTCGAAGTTGCAAAATTTTAATGCTATCGATTAATTTTCCTTCAAACCAAGCAAGTGCTGTCTGAAGTCCGTTAACAACATCGATCGTCGCAGGAATTTCGTGATTGTCATGGGAATCGTCAATTTCACTTTCACACGGCCTATCATTGGGTGAATCGCGTACTGCTGAAATGATTTCTTCGTCCGTCATTGAACAAGTCATTTGAACATCACTGGAATTCACTTAAAATTCACTGTCAATATTTACCCACTCTCTGGCAATATCCTCTAGGTTTTCGCCACTGACCTCTTCGATGTGCTGCAAATCTCTGACGATCTCTGACAACGGGATGTCGTCTTCATCCAAATCATCGTCATTTTCCAAGTGGTCGACTGGGAAAATGGCGAGCCCCAGGCTTTTTTTCCAACACTTGTTTACCGTTGATGATGTCACCTCACTCCAGGCTTCACCGGTGACGTAGATCATTTCTTTGATGTCCAAAGTTTTGAAATAATCTTGCAAATTTATGACATCCCGGGTAACTATTTCGTGAAGCAGTTTTTTGCAATAGCGTTTCTTGAGTGCAGAAATAATTCCTGCGTCCATTGGCTGTATTTTACTTGTTGTGTTTTTCGGAAGAAAAACTGTACGAATCTTGCCGTCTTGTGTACAAAGTTTAGTGACATCAGGGTGGGCGAGACAATTTTCAAGCAATAGAATTGCCTTCTGCTCCAAACCACGCCGGCTCAGAAATGATCTTACCGATGGAACAAATTCTTCGTGGAACCAATTCTTGAAAAGTTCCGATGTCATCCAAGCATTTTGGCTGTGACTGTAACTGAGGGGTAAAGTTTCTCGGTTCACGTGTTTCATGCAGCGTGGGTTCTGGAACTTGCTAATGCACAGGGGACGCAGTTTGTGTTCCCCTGACGCGTTCGTACCAACAAGTATTGTTACACGGTCTTTATACTGCTTGTATCCAGTCGCTCTGTCTTCTTTTTTCGAAGCAGAGTCCGGTTTCATCGACATTGTAAATTTGATCTGGACAGTATGCTCCTGACTCGACAATGTCACAGAGTTCTGGAATGAATTCGGCAGCCACCGTGTCATCGCAAGATTTATCTTCACTGGAAATTTTCAGAGCGCGAACACCATGTCGATTCTTCCACCGATAAAGCCACCCCGTAGAACCAGTAAAATTGGAATCAGAACCATGCATTTCTTTGGATAACGTGATTGCTTTTTCCATAATCATGGGACCGGAAACAGGGATGTTGGCTGCCCGTTGTTCAAACAATAAATAAACTGCCTGATCAAGATCGCCGTCATTTGCCGTTTGCATTTTCTTTCGTTTCAGACCTTCCTGCTGACTACAGTTGTGAACAAAAACCTCGCAACTCCTTTTCTTTTGCTTTAAATGTCGATATGCTACTTTTGGGAATGCCAAATTCATGTGACAGGTTTGCCAAGGCTGAGACGATCGATGATACAGAGTTTATCTTCCACGGACAGGATTTTCCGTTTGCGGGACGGTGTAGAAGCCATAATAAAACTGGATAACGCTGACAATTTACGATTACGATGTTCACTGAGTAGAAACTCGAGTAAGAGTGGTTTTCCATGGCAAATGAGTCCTCTTTTAAAACAGAATTCATAGATATGATTGGATCAGCAATAATCGGAAATCACGATAAAGTATACTGACGAAAAGTGCGAAATGGCGCTGACAATGAAGTGTGATAGTCAGTCTTTTTGAAAGCAAACACGTCGGTGAAAAGACGTAAACCCTCTATCGCACCGCACCAAAGTGAAAACGGAAAGGTGTGAATATATGCTAAAGGATCGTAAACAAAAGAATAATGATGTAAAAAGAATACTACCATTTATTAAGCGTAGTGACAGCTGAGTGACGTCCGGATTTGCCGGAGCCGGTAAATGTAACCTGTTACCTCATTAATATGCAGGGGACATACAGTGTGTTCGTTATAGCGAGGTTACAGTGTAATACCAAAATTTTCTTTGCAACGAAATCACCACAAAATGATCCTGACTACTGAACAATCTGTAGTGCTACTAATGTGAAATAAAATTTGGTCATTATTTGATGGTGCATGCGACGGTTATGCAACTGTTGCATCGGTCTGTAGATCTCAGAGAAACACCATTAAAATAAAAAATATGCTCACCCCAAATCCTCTTGGTTTATCACTGTCATCACCATTAGCTGTTCCAAAACCTCCACTTGGTCGGCCAAACCCGCCGCTGGGTTTATTATCACTGTTGCGACTTCCGAATCCACCACTTGATTTGCCCAATCCGCCACTTGTACAGTCTCTGCTCATATGGCCTTCTTCACCACACTTAAAGCACCCACGCCCTCTACCACCACCACCACCTGCATAAAAGAATCAATTACAGAAATTAAACCTTATTTCATTGCAAATCTAGTCATTAGTGACTTGCAGGAACATCAATTATTCCATCATATAAACCATTGACAATTACAGTCTCCATTGGTATCTTTCTAAAGTGATCTCTAATAAGCTACGCTGTTTCAGCGAAGCCTTGCAATAACAAGCCATGCATGGCATAGTACTCATTAGTTATCAAATTTAAGGCCACCAGTCAGCCATTTTAAATATATCTGTATATCTATGATGTATAACGAATATATAAAATTTGAACATAATCAATCAAAGCATGTCAGAGATGTGGCTCGAGAAGCACATTCACTATAACAAAATAACTGCCAGTCAGCCATTTTGATTTGAAAAATGACATGCATCAAGAAGAAATAATCCAATGTATGTACCAAGTTTGAACAAAATCCAAATGTAAACAGCTGAGAAATGCTTGATTTTGATTTTTCAGTACAAAAATGGCCGCCATTCACCCATCTTGAATCAAATCGTGAAACAAAGTGATGTGGACATGTATGATATTATGTATGATGTACGTGTGAAGTAATCTGCATGCACGGACACAACAAAAGTAAATCTGTCCACATTTTCGGACTGTGTTTGAGTTACCGTGTTACCCCGGGCACGCGTCCAGGGGGCCTGAACATACAAAATCGGGAAAAATTGGGGGTGGGCACTTACCAGAGGACCACTCCAAAAAAGATTTTAAAAAGTTGTTTTTGTGATCGTATGATAAGGTCAAATAAATGAATGCTTTCGTACACTTTGTACACGTACTTATTTCTTGATTTATGCGCGGTTTCAATAAACGTGAGCACTCGGTCAAGAACTGTGGGAACACTAAGACACAGGGTCGAATTTCAAGAATAAAACTTGTTTTATGTCAGCAAATGAAGTTGTATTACTCACTGAAATTGGCTACAAAGTATGGTAAGTATTGTAATCAATGCACAGTTACTTTTTTAGTAACCGTGATCAGTGCATTGGCCGGGAAAAACTACCGCTTGTAATCGAAGATGGCGATGACTTCATTAGCATAATTTTGTTCGTTTTTGACAAATAAAACTTTATTGTTGACCCCGTTCTTGGCTAAAAATCACCCTGGGCGTTTAACCGGCGATGTCCCCAACATGTAACTTTTGTGAAAACAGGGGGGTGGGCGCTTGCCCAGGGAGGGGCGCGTGCCCGGGGTAATACGGTAGTAGAGAGTTTGCCTAATGTCACAAAAAGGTCCATCCAAGGTACACACATCACAATACAATTGGAGCATTGGTTTTCAAAAAGTCAAAATGGCATTTTCACCAAAAATAACAAAAATATTTGCCAAAATTAAGCGAATTGAATGTCACAAAATGTTGATATATGACCAAGATCCACTCAAGGTAGTTTGCAAGATGGTAGTATTCAAGGAGAAGTAGTAATGCTATTGTTGACAGACAGTTGACAATCACCGATATAAACAGTTCCACTCATTGAGGTTGGATTTATACATGAAAGGAAACAATTTCATGTAATTGCTAATCAAATAGTGTGAAGATTTATTTATGAAGACAGCCCCCCCAACCCGAACTACTAATACATGCAAAACACGCGTACGCCACCTGATGCGTCGGCGTTGTTGCCTGCCATCTTGATACAAAGTTCCAAAACAAGTGCGTACATTTCTAACTATGATTGAATGGTTGTGGTGGTGATGTCTTCCTGGTAAAATTTTACATCCAATTTTCAAAATTAAGTCACAATCAGTGACCTGAGCTCGATCTATACGTACTTTAAAAGTATTCTCACAAAAAAATATTTTTGAATAAAAATGAGCCACATGCCCCGTAAAAAAAAAAAATCGAATAGCACTTGACATGCAGAAATAATTTATTGGGCTTCAGAAAAAAACGTGTTCATTTAGTTGTAGCCATAAATATTTGGTGACCAGTCGATTAACAATTTGAAACTTGTGATACACACGGATGTCCTTCGATACTGAATATCATCGACCCCAATCTGGATTACCTCATTTCCCAACTTGCAAAACTGATTTGTATCTCAGCCCAGTTTTTCTTTTTTTGAACTGAGGTCAAATTCCAGTCGTTTGTCAAAATATACCGATGTTTTTCAGTGAATAATTGTGAAGCCTGTCACAGCACAAAAAAACTATGTCAATCGAAAACGAAGCGTCGGACAAACAGGAAATTACACAGCCCTACGCACTGCTAATTGTTTGGTGATTGGTGTTGAATGTCGAATTCACACCTCTGTTCTTTTTTCACCTCCATGCTTGCAGCTTATCTGCGTAATAATTTCTGAAATAAGAATCCGGGCTTGGTCAATGTGTTTTCACCAAATAAAGTTTTAATATAATGTTATAATTATGACAATCATGCCATGGATCACGCTAACTCGAATACACTCTGAATTTATCTGTGCGTGTCGACCTCGATTATTATCCAATTAAACGTCGCTTTTAACGCACTTGCCCTCGTCGTGACCAGACGCGTTCACCTATTTCAAGAAAATGTCAATTTATTTACAAGCGGCTGTCATTTATTTAGTAACTGATTTGTCGTTTTTTTAATTATTTTATAGTGATCACTATAGTCTAATGTTTAGAATGTCAAAATATGTTCTCTTTTATTTTTATTTTGAAAGTTTTACTCAGACGATCGATGAAATAAAACAGTGTAGTGACGTGCCTAGTAACCTGCTAAATAACGAGATAATTCCGACGTCAAATCCTATTTTGTCCAGCGACAGTGTACAAACGTGCGCCGATGTCGGTGACGATCTACACCAGAACAGACATATTTCGCATCTAACTCAACCCCATGCAACAAAAATTGATACTATGTGTTCATTATGGTCCATTCTTCCTCGACGAACAAGTGCGTAAGTGACAATTTAGTCAAAGACGAGAAAACTGCACAAGAAATTTGCCTTATTTACACTTATCCACAATGCAAGCTGCCATGCGACTTCCCTTCTGACATCACAAGGGGAATTTCTGTATGCAAATGAGAAGCTAATGAGGAGCCTCGTTTTAAAATACACAAAAATAAAGTTGCCGTAGACTGAGTTAAAAACACATTTTTTCACTTAAAAAAAATAATTCATGCTTAGAAACATAAAAATTAATATTTATGTATCAATGGATAATTTTAGGCATGAAAATGGCAGCCACTTCACAGGCACTTTAAGTCACTTCCCGGGTACCATATTCTGCCAATTTTGAATCAAAGAAAGCTTAGAAAGAACTCCCGTGTGCTGAGAGTATTGGAGACACATTAAAAATTAATTCAAAATTACTTGAACTTGAGATGTTGATGGAAACGCAGAAAACTAATTATGCAAATTAGGTAACTAATATGAACAGATTTAAGTGTAAAACTAATAAGGTCTGCACAATGTACCAAGTTTCATTGAAATGTGATTAGAACTAAAATAATATTAATTATTATGCTAATTAGAGAATTAATATGAACAGATTTTAACCCAAAATTAATCAGGCTGTCTATTGTCCTAGAGCACTTATGTACCAAGTTTTATTCAAATGTGATGATCAATACTTGAGATATCAGTATTAATTAATTATATTAATTAGGTGATTAAGAAGCATAAATATTTACCAAAAACCAATGTGGTGTATAGTTCTAGGTTCATTGAAATGTGATGGGTACTCTTTAAAAGTTTCATTGAAATCCAATGAGTGGCTTTTAGACATCAGTGCAACAGCCATAGAACAGCAAAAAATTAACTAATTATGCAAATTAGGTAATTAATAGGCACAATTATTTATCCCAAAATTAATCAGGTCTCTGCACAGTCCTAGAATATCTATGTCGCAAGTATCATTGAAATGTGATGATTAGTACTTGAGATATCAGGTGAAAAGCAAAAAAATAACTAATTATGCTAATAAGGTGATTAATATGCACAAATATTTACCCAAAAACTAATTAGGTCTCTGCACAGTCCTCAAGTAACTATGTACCAAGTTTCATGAAACATGTGATGA